AACAATAAATGCCCAGTGCTTATGAGGACACCGTTCGCGTCAGGGCCCATACTCCTCCGCCACTGGTAACTCGTGCGTGTCCTGGAGCACAAACACACACACACACACTGTTACTGGTAACTCGTATGTGCCCTGTGACGCGCACGCACACACACACCGCTACTGGTAACTCGTACGTGTCCTGGAACACACACACACACACACACATCGTCACTGGTAAATCGTACGTGTCCTGGGTCCTGGAACACACACACACACACACACGCGCACACACACGCACACACGCACCGTTACTGGTAACTCGTACGTGTCCTGGAACACACACACACACACACACACACACACACACGCACACACACACACACACACACACGCACACCGTTACTGGTAATTCGTGCGTGTCCTGGAACACACACACACACACACACCCGTACTGGTGACTCGTATGTGTCGTGGAACACGCACATGCACCGTTACTGGTACCTCGTACGTGTCCTGGAACACACACACACACACACACGCACACACACACACACACACCGTCACTGGTAACTCGCACGTGTCCTCGAACACACAACAACCCATCGTTACTGGCAACCTTAAAGGGCTCCAGAAAATTTCAAATCCAGTTTTGGGAAGTACATGTCGGCTTTTGTTTGTATTGTGAACAATGCAGATCTGCGCCGCCGCGCGCGCGCGGCGGGTGACCCACCGCCCTTCGGCCTCCTGAAAGGGCTCCAGAAAAATTGAAATCCAGTTTTGGGAATTACATGTCGGCTTTTTGTATTGTGGACAATGCAGAACTGCGCCGCCGAGCGCGCGCGCGGCGGGTGACCCACCGTCCTTCGGCCTCCTTAAAGGGCTCCAGAAAAATTGAAATCCAGTTTTGGGAATTACATGTCGGCTTTTGCATTGTGAACACTGCAGAACTGCGCCGCATCGCGCGCGCGCGGCGGGTGACCCACCGTCCTTCGGCCTCCTTAAAGAGCTCCAGAAAAATTGAAATCCAGTTTTGGGAAGTACATGTCGGCTTTTCTATTGTGAACAATGCAGAACTGCGCGCGCGCGCGCGCCCGCGCGCGCGGCGGGTGACCCACCGTCCTTCGGCCTCCTTAAAGAGCTCCAGAAAAATGAAATCCAGTTTTGGGAATTACATGTCGGCTTTTGTATTGTGGACAATGCAGAACTGCGCCGCCGCGCGCGCGCGCGGCGGGTGACCCACCGTCCTTCGGCCTCCTTAAAGGACTCCAGAAAAAAACACATCCAGTTTGCGCCGCTGCACGCGCGCGCGGCGGGTGACCCACCGTCTTTCGACAAAGGCTTCAAAAAAATCCAGTTTTGGGAATTACATGTCGGCTTTTGTATTGTTAACAATGCAGAACTGCGCCGCCGCGCGCGCGCGGCGGGTGACCCACCGTCCTTCGGCCTCCTTAAAGGGCTCCAGAAAAAAAATCCAGTTTTGGGAATTACATGTCGGCTTTTGTATTGTGAACAATGCAGAACTGCGCCGCCGCGCGCGCGCGGCGGGTGACCCACCGCCCTTCGGCCTCCTTAAAGGGCTCCAGAAAAAATCAAATCCAGTTTGGGGAATTACATGTCGGCTTTTGTATTGTGAACAATGCAGAACTGCGCCGCGCGCGCGCGCGCGGCGGGTGACCCACCGTCCTTCGGCCTCCTTAAAGGGCTCCAGAAAAAGAAATCCAGTTTTGGGAATTACATGTCGGCTTTTGTATTGTGAACAATGCAGAACTGCGCGCGCGCGCGCGCCGCGCGCGCGCGCCCGCGCGGGGCGGGGGTGAAAGGCTCAGAAAATTGAATCCGTTTTGGGAATTACATGTCGGCTTTGTATGTGACAATCAGAAACGCGCGCCGCGCGCGCGCCCGCGCGCGCGGCGGGTGACCCACTGTCCTTCGGCCTCCTTAAAGAGCTCCAGAAAAATTGAAATCCAGTTTTGGGAATTACATGTCGGCTTTTCTATTGTGAACAATGCAGAACTGCGCGCGCGCGCGCGCGCGGCGGGTGACCCACCGTCCTTCGGCCTCCTTAAAGGGCTCCAGAAAAATTCAAATCCAGTTTTGGGAATTACATGTCGCTTTTGTATTGTGGACAATGCAGAACTGCGCGCGCGCGCGCGCCCGCGCGCGCGCGCCCGCGCGCGCGGCGGTTGACCCACCGTCCTTCGGCCTCCTTAAAGGCTCCAGAAAAATTGAAATCCTTTTGGGAATTACAATGTCGGCTTTTCAAACTGAACCGTCCTTCGGCTCCTTAAATTGAAATCCGGGATTACATGTGCAGAACTGCGCGCGCGGCGCGCGCCCGGGCGGGTGACCCACCGTCCTTCGCCTCCTTAAAGAGCTACAGAAAAATTGAATCAGTTTTGGGAATTACATGTCGGCTTTTCTATTGTGAACAATGCAGAACTGCGCGCGCGCGCGCGCGGCGGGTGACCCACCGTCCTTCGGCCTCCTTAAAGGGCTCCAGAAAATGTCAAATCCAATTTGGGGAACTACATGTCGGCTTTTGTATTGTGAACAATGCAGAACTGCGCGCGCGCGCGCGCGGCGGGTGACCCACCGACCTTCGGCCTCCTCAAAGGGCTCCAGGAAAATTCAAGTTCAGTTTGGGGAATCACATGTCGGCTTTTGTATTGTTAACAAGGCAGAACTGCGCAGCCGCGCGCGCGCGGGGCGGGTGACCCACCGTCCTTCGGCCTCTGTAAATGGGCTCCAGAACAAAATTCAAAGCCAGTTTTGGGAATTACATGTCGGCTTTTTACATTGGAAATTACTTACGGCTTTTGGGTGGTGGTGGTGGTGGTGGTGTGCGTGGTGTGGTGGTGGTGGTGGTGGTGTGTGTGTGTGTGTGGTGTGGGTGGTGTGGGTGGTGGTGGTGGTGGTGGTGGTGGTGGTGGTGGTGGTGGTTGTGGTGGTGTGTGTGGTGGTGGTGGTGGTGGTGGTGGTGGTGGTGGTGGTGGTGTGTGTGTGTGGTGGTGTGGTGGTGGTGGTGGTGGTGGTGGTGCGTGTGTGGTGTGTGGTGTGTAGTGTGTGTGTGCGTGGGTGGTCGTGGGTGGTGGTGGTGGTGGTGGTGGCGGCGGCGGCGGTGGTGTGTGTGTGTGGTGTGGTGGTGGTGATGGTGGTGGTGGTGTGGTGTGTGGTGTGCGGTGTGAGGTGCGTGGTAGGCGGGAGAAACGTCGCCGCGCCTGGGGGAAACGCCGCCGCCCCCCAATCCCTCTCCCCGCGCCCGTGCATCGCTCTGTGAACGTCGGCGCTGGGTCGGCGTCGGCGCGGCCGTCTCGGCCGCTGGAGGACAGCCCCGCGCGCCGCTCGCGAGCTCCCCCCCCCCGCGTGCGTTTGCAGTCTCCGCCTCGTCCTCGCCACGCGCTCGCATCCCTCGTCGCATTCATTGCCATCGGCTTTGCATGGGCGGGACGTGCCTCCCACGATGTCTCTCTCCCCATCCCCCCGCGGGCTGAGCAGTGCTGTCGGAGTGATTGCGGAGCTGCGCGAGAGCGAGGGCGAGCCCGCCATCGGGGGCTCGATGGGGCGGGCGCTGGAATTGTCGTCGCGGGGAGTGGGGGAATGGCGGTTATCATCAGGGCGAGGGCTGGGGCTGGGGAGGGCGATAGCGAAGCTGGTAGCTCATTGGATATTCTGAGTTTCTGGAGCAGATCCACAGCCGTGCCGCCCGAATCGAACTCTCGGCCCGATGCGACGGTGAAAGCCTCGCTGCCCTGTCAACGGCGCGACGGTCGCTACTCAGAGTATGCACATCTTTCGGTGAGTTGACGGTTGCCTGGGCGCCCGCCCCTTTCCGTCTCCATGCCCCTTTTGCGCGATATTGCCATTTATGCTCAAGCAAGGTTCGAACACCGAGCTTTAACGACACCTTGTTGTACCACGGCACAGTGCCAACACGACCGCCCGATTTCAACGCCGCTCTCTCGACATGGGCAAGCGCGGTGGCCACAATGCGAAGCCCCCGCAGAAGGCCCCCTGTGGTGCCGCAAGCGTCGTGGTTCTCAAGATGCCTCTGCCTCTGCTGCCCCCCTCGGCCGCGTCGGCGCTGGCGAGATTGGCTGCGCCTGACTCCTTCCAGCGCGGCACATGCGATGCCACCGACGTCAACATGGCGGTGAAAGATGCGATGGTGCCAACCTGCACTACGTGCTTCGATCTGTACTGCAAGGGCTTCACCCAGTTCGGCAGCTTGGAGAAGGCCCAGGAGGGCGTCAACGATGAGGGCTCGCACATACACGGATGCTGGGAGGAGTCCAAGCGCACCGAGAAGGGCGAGGCCGCGAAGTCCTTCTTCCCGACGACCGTCAACGAGGGTAGCCAGTTCATCATCTCGGTCGTGAAGCCGATGGTCGGCATAACCCGCGGGCAGCTCGTCTCAGACGTGCTGCACGAGGAGCCCGAGGCGCTGGGCGTCAAGCTCCAGGACTTGTCCGACCACGAGGGGAACACCTACAAGGGCATCTTGGTCCCCAGCCCGCAGCGGCCGCACTTGGAGTACAACGTGACGGGCGAGATCTACGCCAATATGCTTGCGCACAAGATGACGCCAGACCAGCAGAATTTCGATGCGCAAGCTTTGGACTTTGGGCATGTACGACCACGCGCGCAAGGATCGGGCAGCGCTATGACGCCCGCCTCACGCTCGGATTCTTGACCACGGGGCTTTGTTTTCTGGTTTTCTGGCACGACCCCCCCCCCCCCCCTCTCTCCATGCGAAACTTGGAGGGGGCGTCGGGGCTTCCCCGACGCTTGCGCTTCGTCGCCCCCGCCCTCTATCGCCAGCTTGCCCCCCTGGATTGTTCCTGGCCGCATGTGCGCCCCTTTGCCCTCTCCCCCTCCCCTGCTTGATCCGCGGCATGGCCGAAGGAATGCCGTGAACAAGGGAGGAGGGGGCGGCGAATGGGATCGCATGACGGCGTTAGCTCGTCGCCGAGACGTTCACAAGCATCTGAGTGCGAGCGTGCGGGGCGCAGTTGTCGCAGGGCCTTTCCACCGCTGGCAAGTTCAAGCCCATCTGCGTGAAGGCGCGCACAGAGGCCTACACCATCGATTCCCTGATTGCGAGGGCGGAGAACTACAGGAAGACGCAAGCGGAGATCGAGCGGAGGGCCAAAGAGGCCGAGGATGCGGTTGTTGCTGCCAGTGGCGAGAGCTCGTTCGGCGGCAGCCCTTCGCCCGCGGCTCCGCAGCAGGGCGCGCTTGCAGCGGGGTCTGGGCCGCAGCTCAATCCTGCGGCGATGGCTTGCTCGCGGTCCGTCGCCGCCCCCTCCGAGTGCAGGCCGCCGAGGACGCGTGGCGCGAGGCCTCGCGGAAACGCCAGATCCGCCATGTCCGAGGCCAAGAAGTCCAAGGTGGAGGAGCTCGTGGATAGGCTTGGACACGAGCAGGTGCTGGGCAGGCGCGGCCATGGGCCGCGAGCTTCGCCAGCTTCGCTGAGCCAGGGGGTCGCACGAGGGCATCGTGGAGGCCATCCCCACCCCAGAGGGCTCGGAGACCGCTGACAAGCTGAAGGAGCACACCTCGGCGCGCGATGCCATCTGCGGGATCGTCGAGAAGCCCATTCGGGAGATCCCGAAGAGCACGCTCGACAACTTCCTGAATACCCTGGAGAAGTACAACGGGGACATGCCGAGCAAGAAGTGGTGGACGTTGGATAACTTGAAGGTTAAGGTCCTAGGGGTATCGCTGGGGCACCCAACCAGAGGTCGCAAGACTGCGCGCGCGGGTCGGGGTATGGGGGGAGGGGGCGACCCGCGCGCGCAACCACTGGCCTGTGTTTGCAAACCCTGGCCGTGCCCCGAAGGTGGGCGACCCCTTGAAGAAGCCTGACATGAGCATGCAGGATTTCTTCTATATGATTGCGCCGTGGGAGGTCCAGCACGCCGAGGGCAATGGGAGCCTCACGTACAAGCCGACGTGCCCCGATGTACACGAACCCAAACACACCGTTACTGGTAACTCGTACGTGCCCTGGAACACACACACACCGTTACTGGTAACACGTACATGTCCTGGAACACACACGCACACACCGTTACTGGTAACTCGTACGTGTCCTGGAACACACACACACCGTTATTGGTAACTCGCACATGTCCTGGAACACACACAAGCACACACACCGCTACTGGTAACTCAGTAACTCGTACGTGTCCTGGAACACACACACACACACACACACACCGTTATTGGCGACTCGCGCGTGTCCTGCAACGAGCACACACACCGTTATTGGTAACTCGTACGTTTCTTGGAACACGCACGCGCCGTCTCTGGTAACTCGTGGGAGTCCTGGAACACGCACACACACACTCACGCACACACACACACGCACGCACCCACACCGCCACGGGTACCTCGTACGTGTCCTGGAACACACACACACACACGCACACACACACGCCGTTACTGGTAACTTGTACGTGTTCTGGAACACACATACACACACCATTACTGGTAATTCGTACGTGTCCTGGAACACACACACACAATGTTACTGGTAACTCGTACGTGTCGTGGAACACACGCACACGCAACTTTGCTGGTAACTTGTACATGCCCTGGAACACACACGCACACGCCGTTACTGGTAACTCGTACGCGCCCTGGAACACCCACCCACCCACACACACACCGTTACTGGTAACTCATACGTGTCCTGACAGACACACACACATTGTTACTGGCAACTCGTATGTGTCCTGGAACACACACACACACACACACACACTGTTACTGGTAACTCGTACGTGTCCTGGAACACACACACACACACACACGCACACACTGTTACTGGTAAACACACGCACACACAACTTTGCTGGTAACTCGTACGTGTCCTGGAACACACACACACCGTTATTTGTAATTCGTGCGCGTCCTGGAACACACACAGACACAGACACATACACACACACACGCACGCACGCACACACACACACACCCAACACACACACGCACACGCACCGCTACTGGTAACTAGCACGCGTCCTGGAACACACCCACACACAAACACACACACACACCGTTACTGGTAACTCGTAAGTGCCCTTGACACACTCACACACACTGTGACTGGTAACTTGTAAGTGTCCTGGAACACACACATGCACACACACACACACACCGTTACTGGTAACTCGTACGTGTGCTAGAATGCTAGATCACTCACACACACACACACACCGTCAGGGCCCTTGGGGACGGGGGTCGAACGCAGACGGAGGCCCCCCGAAAGGGGAGGGGCGGGATTGAAAATGAAGGAGGGGGGCTTGCTACTTTGAATTTCCGTGCCCCTGTCCCTGCCCTCTTGTTTTTTTTTTCCCCCCCGACTTCCCCTCCCTGCCCTCTTCTGCCCTGGCGGTTGTTCTCTATGTTGGGTTATTGTGTGCTTGTGTGTCTGCGCGCGTGCATGCACAGGCGCCCGCGCGTTGGTGCTGCTGTCGTCTTGGGGCGCCGACCTCAAGGCAAGTTGGCAATTCAATTCACTGTTTCGCTTTCCATCTCGGTGGCCCTCGAGGACAGCGGTGCGCTGTGCATCACCACGCACGCGACCACAGGAGGAGGAGGAGGAGGAGAAGGATGAGGTGGGAGGAGGGGAAGGAGGAGGGGAATGTTGATGATGAGGAGGGGCGACGATGATGATGATGATGATGATGATGATGATGATGATGATGATGATATCGCTGACAATCAACGGATTGCAACAGGCTCGCCAGCGAAGCCGCCCTCCTCCCGTTCCATGTCAATTAGCTGCTTGGCCAGACGGCCGTTCTCGCTGTCCTCTAATGATATTGCCTCGAGGTCATTCCGGCCACTGATGCGCTCGGCACGATGGGCGGCCTTGCCGAGCTCGGCCTTCAACGCATCATGCGCCGGCTTGTCGCCGCACGGCCTGGCAAGCCACGCCATGAGGTGCCCGAGACAGAACCGGCGCCGGCCGTCCTCTAGTTTGAGGCGGCGGTCCATCTTGCACCGCGCAGAGCCAACCTGATGGCCTCTCTTGCAGTGTGCATTGCACTGCTTCAGCCTGACGGAGAACTGCAGCTCGCCCCCAGGCACTTGCACTGTCCTCCAATCACCGGCGGGGCCGGGTGGCGGCGGGGGGCCATGCGGGGCAGCTGCAGCTCCCGGCGGTGCTGGCGGCGCAGCTCCCGGCGGGGCTGGCGCCGGCGGGGCCGGCGCTGGCGGGGGCGGCGGCGGCTCCACCGCTGGCGGGGGCGGCGGCGGCTCCACCGCGCCGAAAAACCCGCCGTCATCCAGGCCGAACTGCCCGCCGCCCTCGTCTCCGCCTCCTGGCGGGCAGACTGCGTCGAGGTCGTGCATGTCGTCCAACAAGTCATCGCAGGCTGCGTCGCCGGAATCGTGGCTATCGCCGTCTGCGCCGTCATCGGCCGCAACCTCTGCGCGCCGCCCAGCTATGTCGTCCAGCGGGTCGGGTGGCCGGCTGCCAGGCGGCAGCGGCGGCGGCGGCCTGGGCTGCTCATTTGCGCTGCCTCTCCAGAACTCAACGGCGGGCAAATACGGGCGGACGCTCAAGTTGCCGATGCGAAAGTGCACCCGGATGTCCGATGCCGACGCAAAAAGCCGGAACGTCTCCACCGTGAACGCATGCTCGAAGGGGAGATCTTCGAACGCCCGCCACGACAACACCCATTGTGCACGCACTGGGGCGGTCAAGGCGACGCCTGGCCGTGCCCGCTCGACGCGAAAGGGGTCCCCATCATCCGACAGGCGCAGTAAAGCCAAGCGCCACGCGCTATGCGCCAGGTTCGTGTAGCTGCAGTGGTACCAGCGCGCACCGTCTGGCCAGGCAACCCTGAAGACGACACACGCCTTCGTCAGCAGGCGCCTGCTCAATGTCTTCGCGCCGAACAACCTCGCCAACTTCACGACGAAGGCGCACTCAAAAGCTGCCAAGTACGGGGCGCGATGGAGGCACATCCCGGCCAAGTTGCAGAGGTTCGGCCGGAAGAACCTGTCGGGTATGTGGCCGATCGGGCTGCACTTGGCGTGGCGAAAGGGCTCCTGCAGCGCGCTCCACTGCTCCCTCAGCTTCAGTGCGAAACCCGGGGGCGCCACGGAAAGCACGTGCTGGGTCATCTCCTGTATGGGAAATTCGATGTCGATATTCAGGGCACCGCCTGCATCGGGAAAACAGGTTGCGCATCCCTCGCGGCCGCCGCCGCACAGCAAGGCCAAGTCGTTCGACTCCGCAGCCGCCGCCTCCCCCCAGGCCATGAGGCACCGCATATCTTGTGCAGCTTTGTCCGCAGCCTCTCGGGTCTTGGAGGCATGGGCGTCCCGAATGCGATCGAGGACGCCCTGGAAGCCAGACGAAGCGACAATCGCGCCCTGGCCCTGGGCAAGGCCATCTTCCAGGCTGGCGGCGCTCGGGAAAATGTTGCCGATGACACGCCTCCGAAGAATCGTCTTTTCTATGCCAACTGCCCGTAATCTGGCCATCTCCTCGGGCGGCAGAGCCCTATATCTAGCTGAGAGGCGGCGCAGAGTAAGTGGGCTGGGTTTGCCCCTCGTCCCTGTCAGTTGCTCGTGGCAGAACACGCGCCACGGCCCGCCACCCCAACTCCACAGCCATTTATTTTTGATCCTCTTCCTGATATGCTTGGACTGGCTACCCGCCGCCTTCTCTGCCATTTTATCTCTGGGATCTGCTCTTTTCCTCTTCGAGGGTCGAGGCGGCCTCGCAGTGCTGAGGCAACGCATGTTGCGACGCACGCTGATGCGATGCCGAGCCAACACGAAATACCCGTTCAGATTGGACGCGTGCGTTGCCCAGGAGCCGGATCCCATGATTTGCAATCGCCGTAAACTAGCATGACGGGCCTCTATGTTGGGGATGCCAACGTCTAGAAGCTTGGCAGCCGCCCGCAAGATGGCCATGGAGTCCTTCGACAGCAAATCGGGGTAAGCACGGATGTGCGACGCTGAGAAGTGGTCGTACATGCAGTCAGGGTCGCTGACGATTGACTGGGCGATGAGCTCCCTGTCGGCTGGCCTGGAGGGGCGCTACAAGCAAATCGCCCCCATGGCGCGGGGCGGACACGATCCCCCGTGCACCGTCGCAGAAGAGGCCCGTGTTGAGGAGGGGGAGGGCGACGCAAAGAGAGAGAGAGAGAGAGAGAGAGAGAGAGAGAGAGAGAGAGAGAAAGAGAGAGACGGAGAGAGAAGTTGTTGGTAGGACATGATGTTTCCTGCGACAGGGGGGATGCGCCTCCAGCACTCGCAGGCAGGATTTGGCCCTGAACGCCGCGGAATCATATTTCAATTGCCCCCCACAGCACTCGGACTGTCCATGTCAAGTGGGCCACATTGTGCTGCCAGCAATGCCGGGCATTCTAGGTTTTGCCGCGGCTTGTCCCCGGCAAAGCTGGGTCCAACAGGGGCCACATGCCGACGGGCCACCAACCCACGGGCAACCGAACTGCGCGGCCCCCAACAACGGCCCCCGACCCATGGACAACCAACGCAAGAACCATCGACTCATGGAGACTAGGTGCAACTCCTCCGGCCCCTCTGCGGCGCTGCCAGGCTGAGAACAATCGTGGATGTCGTAACTGCGGCGTGGAATGGCGACCGCCGGCCACCTGCGAGCCGACGCCCCATCCTATAATGCCATGGGACCGCGCCCTCAGGGCAGCGATTCACAATGCATGGTTGGGGGCCCACAACTGTAACATGTGATAGGCCCGCGCCCCAAAGGCCACGATCCACCAGAAATCCCACCAGCCCTTTAGGGCGGATATGGTTTATTTAGAACGGTTCCTCTTCCAACCCTCTCCTTCCCCTACCCCCTCGCCCTGGACCCG